GGTTTATTTGACTGTTTCGGTCTTTTGATGGGCTTTTTACCACCTGGAAAACTGTAAATGTAGGTAGAACATTGTGAACAAGGTTGTTTATTCATTAGTATTACACAATTATTTATTGACACTGTTTGGGAGGAAAAAGCACCGCAGAATTAAGCACTGCAAAAAGAGCATTCACTTCACCCCTTTACTATAAGATCATACAATGTATTTATGATGAGCCAAATATTATATATGCACACTTGTAATCCAGAAACTCTGCTTCTTCCAGAACTCTGGTGTTTCTTTCTACAGCACCCCAAACATATACACATGAAAAAAATTCACACCTGGCATATATGTTTAAGCAGGGATTTTAGGAAGTCTCTGTAACCCTGTGGGATAAATGCTTGCAGATAATTTCACCACAGAGCAAAGCACTGCCAGCTCAGCGCTGAAATGTGGCCTGGGATAGTAAAGCACTACAATGGGAGTGTCTTTATCAAGGAAAGAGAAAAGCCTTCAAAACCCTCCAGTCTTTGCTTCCTGAGAACAGCAGGTGCAGGTATTTTACTGGGGCTATGGGGTGGTGTTTTCTTGTGGAGCCTGGTAGCCAGGTTGGTTTTCACCCCTGGAAACTGGTCATACACTGCTAAAGGAATTTTTGGCGCCTTGTCTGCAACATCACAGGGGACAATTTAACCAAGGTTACAGAAAAAGATTTCCTCCTTAGAAAAAAATAAACAAAACTTCATCAGTCCTTTAATAAGCTCCTTTATTTTAGGATTTTACTCTTTCCTCTTTGTTGTGTCTGAAACTGAATCTACAAAGAGTGTAAATGAATTTAAAATATGATAATTTAAGTCATGGTATTGGCTGACATCTAGCACTGCAGAGAAGGCAGAGGGAAAACAAACCTCAAAAATAACTATTATTTCACCTAGATAGGACTTTTTTTTAGGTATCTTGCTGAATGTCATCTTATTTCCCTTCTCTTTCTCAAAATTTCTGCCTAAGGAAAGCATTAATATTAAGTAAGTTTCTGTTTAGGCCTTTCAGTAGATGAAGTAGATACAAGGAAATGTTTTCTTCAGTTCTGTTTTATACCAACTTATTTTTCTTCTTTTTAAATGTCACTTTTCTCTTTAATAACTATAAATCTTTTACAAATATCACAGAGTATTAGAAATGGGAAGTAGATGTACATAACATATTGTTACATTTTTTCTTGGAAGAATATTGAACTGAGTTCTAATTTTTGTTCAGACTGTTCTGTGGTAATGATACAGATATTACAGATTTTTTTGTTGTTATTAATTATATGCATCAGTGTATGCCATAAAACTTGATGTAACTTAGGGAAGATTAAAAAAATCAGTTCTCATTACTTCTGTAATGCTTAATAAAGCTTAAAAAGTGAAAGAAAAAAAACTTAGCCAAATTATATTTTTCAGTATGCTGTGAAAATGAATATTATATGATTTATACAGGATGTTTGAGCAGATCCAACAATCCTTTATATGAGATTATAATTTAATACTTTTATTTAGAAGTGAATAAGGATTTATACATTTTTTCCTTAAAATATAAAGAAACTGCCTCAAGCTTTCTGCAATTGACCTCTTTGCTTTGATGGTAATTCTTAGCAAATCCCAGGAGTCTGAGTAACAGTGACTATTTTAAAGAGATATGATAACTCTAGTTAAGCTGATTAGGAACCAGTTAACTGATAGATCTGAAATCTAGATGTGATTGTATAATCCTCCTTAGTGGAAGATCCTTTTAGGGAGGCCATTAAAAGACCACATTCCAAAAGTCCTGTTGATGATTTACAGGTGAGTAGGAAGCTATTGCTAATAACATTTACAAAAAGAGTAAGTCTAGTAAAAAAAACAATTACCATGCAGACATGGAAGTCACAACGTGACAGCAAGACCAGAAAACCCCAAAATGATATTTCTCAGTGCAATAGTGTTATCACTGAATGTTCAGAAACATGGACTTGGACAGCAATAGAGGAAAGAGAAATTAGGAGGAATGGTGATGATCTGCCTCCACCACACTCAGGGAGATTAGTCCAGGAACATTCCTTTCCATGCTTTAAAAGGGATTCTCAAAACCAGGAGGTGTTCCAGAGAAGTAGTCCCCAGAACTATTTGAAGGAATAAACTTTACAGAGTAAAAACCTAGCCATGAATTTGGTCTGTTTCTTTTATCAAAAGGGAACCTGACAAGCACCTTGATCAAATCATCCAGATGCATTCCCAGAGAAAGTCAGTGGCTGCAAGATGGTTCTTCTGTCTGGGAATAATAGGTCACAGCAAGAATCAATGGATGCAAATCAGTCAGAAAAAATCAAATGAGAAAAATCCATATGTGAATAAACAGTGAGAGTGTTAAGGCACTCTACCAAGTACATTCTAATACTACCAAGATGGACAGAGATTAATTAAGACAAGACCATCTTTTGGTGCATTCAGATGAAGGCAGGAATTTTTTCAAAAGATATGCCTTTACCAGGTGTGAAAGCTTTATGCAATATCAGATGGGTAGGTTGATAGGGCCCTGTAAATCACAAGTCCTTAAAATTCAGGACCACTCAGTATCCATTTCCAAATTTTTCCAAAGGAAAAGGTGAAGTTCAATGTAAGATTTAGAGCCTTTTATTTTATGCAGCTGTTCCATCCATAAGAGTCCAGTGAGGAGTCTTGGTTTCCTGCAAAGTGCAGAGGGAGAATTTGTCTCCTTGAGTTGGACAAAAACAGCAAACCCTTTCTAAGGAAGCAAGAGAGGTTCCTCTCTGTTAGGCATCTCTTTTGTCAGGTATCATCACATCCAGGTCACAGAACCCACAGATAAGGAACACACTCAAAATGTATTTCTTTTTACTAAATTTTAATTATTCATGATCATATCAGTCTAATCTTTGTAGGCAAATCTGTTCAATTTCTGCAGTGATTCTTCCCTGTCTTCCACCTTCAGAAGGTTGTTCTAGACCTGTGGATTAGTTTAATCAATGATGTGTTAAAAAGAGAAGTAAATTCCCAGACTAGGAAAGAAAACGCATGAAGGAGCCTAGGGTCTTGAATTCAGTGACTGGAACATTCACTTGAGAAGTGATTGTCCTGATAATGAAGTTTTGCAGACACAGATGTTTTTTCATCCCTAACCACAGATTTCTGGATAAGAAATTCTTGGCTATGTAAAACAGATTGATATATTTATTACTGTTTCTTTAAAATAAACTCACCTACATTTTTGGGATCCCTACTACTGCGTGGGACATTCAATGTTCTCCAGGAAGATTTATGAATTTAGAACTCCAACAGAAAGATTTATAGAAGGTTTAAGTAGGAGATGTGTGACAAGCCACAGAGAAGGGGAAAATGTCTAGGCATTTAAAGAAGCAAAATTTTCAGTTCTCATAAAATAAAAAAACAAGCAAGACGTTGACTCCAGGGTTAAGTAGTGAGTGAGGGAAGTTTCACTGGATTAGACTTTTAAATGTAAATGCCTTCCTTATTTCTAACTCCTTTATTGAATGTAGTCATTCTATACAAATTCACTATTGGTTAAATTTAGCTAATGGAATGATTATAAAATATGGTTAATGATCATGAATGCTAGCCAAAATTGAAATGTAAAGTAAGGCAATAAAGCATTTTATATACATAATCTTCCTAAAATATTTCTGTGACATACATAAATTCAATTTGGTGTAAAATATGTTTCTTCAGTTAAAGTAGCTATTTTTGTTAAGCCATCCAAAAGCAGACATTACTCCTATAAACTCTCTAAAAGACAGGACTGAGGTAGTTCTTTCACCTGTCTTGTTTTACTGTGTAGATCAGAGCTGATGAGGGCTTTTTGTTTGCAAAGCAAATACTGTAGGTTGCATTTACTAATTTACCACTGCCCAGACCAAGGGTTATGGCATCACTCTGTACAAGAGAGAACACATTGCTATTTGAGATAAAAATAGCTGAATCAAAAAAAAAAAAAATTATATTTATGGAAATCTTGCCTTTCTTGACTTTAATGTGTAAGCTGAGAGAAAATCAAAAGGATCTTACTGATACTGTGTAATATGTGTACAAATACCCCATAACCCTGATTCAGAAATGTATAAAAGCCAACAAGGGATGTAAATTTGTGCATCAGACCAAGCTGCTTTATGTTCTCTTTATAGTAAATAGACAGCATGGTCTATGATCTTCAGAGTGAAATTAGCATTTTCCCATATTATATACCTGCACTTGACTGGATAAATGATAAGATAAACTCCATTAAATGTACTTCATTGCCTCCATTTAGAAGCCTTATTACTCAGCTCAGATATTGACACCTAAAGATAGCCATATTAAATTAAATTTTGACCAAAGAAACATGAAAAAAAAATGAAATATACAAGCCAAGCAAAACTGAGCATGTGTTCTACTTGTATTTTTGTGCTTCGTGTTTTTTTCTGATCAGCGTTAATTAAGTAGCAACTAATTTTCTTGGTGTAATAATTTCCTCTGCTGTGTTTAATTAATATCATTGTTGAGTTAGAATCCAGTCTAAAGACTGTAAACCCTGCTAGTAACTAACCGCTGCAAAGACTGTGGGAACTGATTAGATGACCTTAAATGAATACATCTTTTAATCTTCTTCAAGAAGATTAAAATTTGCAGAAGACAAAATAAAGCTATTGTCTTAAAAAAAAAAAATTGAAAAAAAATCAGCAAAGATCCAAAATATGAAGCTTCCTTAGAAGCTGTGGTAGATGGTCTGCTTTCACACCATTCTTTGTGTAATCCAGCACTGCAGAAGCCCAAAGTTCTGATGGCAACCTCAGCTTTCACTTGCTATCAGAAGTCATCATCTTTCAGAGAACTTTGTCAGCATCTTCCAAACTCAACTGCTGTATAAAATCCCAGTGGGGAGAATCTGGATATATATTGTACAGAGGGATCAGAGGGTATTTCCAAAAGCTCCCAAGCATGGAATTGATTTTGTCTTTTTGGAAATTGTGTTTAACTCACATGTGCTAGCCGATCAAATCTGGCAAAGAGTTCATTCAGCATTCGGACCAGCTCCTGGGCTGACAGAGTTGTGGAAAGGTTGGTGAATCCTTTAACATCTGCAAAAAGAATGCTAAAAAAAAATAGAAAACACATAAATATTTCCATCTATTTCCTTTAATTACTGAATGTTTTAAGTTACCTTCTAGCATTTTACTAGTGGAAGGGTCATTTTACTACCTTTGAAGTCACACTACCTTTGCTCTAGACTTCTCTGCATTCTGGAATACTGAATATAAATATTGAAAGGACTAATAAAACACTGCTAGAAGTGAGAAAAAGTTCTGTCAAAAATAGGAGTCACGAAATTGTGGATTTTCAAATCACACAAGACTCAAATCCTAAGACTACAGACAGATTTGTGACAGTCTTGATATACACCAAGCTAAGGCCAGTTTTATTGCATCTAATTTTAGGCATTTAGTAGAAGTACCCAAGTTAGGACTGTAGTGCTCTTTGTAAAGTATGAATCTTAATTGGATAATTCCATTTTCATTCTATTGACTTTACAAGGATCATACTTTGAATTTAGGTGTATCAACTTGTATGCCTGAAGTTATGATAGGAACCCCATTAGCAAATTATTTGCAAACAGACTTCTAACCTGTGCTTCAACATCCAGTTATTTTTCTTGTCTTTTGGCTACTCACTGTGCCTAGAATGACCACATTATATATAGATTATATACAGAGAAACATTAGCACACACAAAGTCTGTGGTGTGCAGGACACCACCCAGAACAAAGCATTCAATAGCTCAGGACTTATTAGGCAAAGCAAGTATTGGCTACTTTATAAAGTAGTGATGTTCCAAAAGACACATATCATTGTGGCACAAACCTTGTTAGCACTTGAAAGTCAACTAATAACTGGTATTATGATCTGAGTAGCAGAAGATTTTGTTCCACTTTAGCTGATGATTGTGGTGAATAAGATCATAATTTGACAGCATCTGAGAATTACTAATGTAACCAATAAGAAATAAAGTAATGATAAGGTTGGCTACTGATAATATAGCACATCTTTAAATGTATGCACTTCTGAAGGTTTGGGTGAGGTTTAGACAAGATGCTTACAAACTTGGTAAGACTTTTACCAGTGTGAAGCAATAAAATTAAAAGGTAAAGTGCCAAGCTTCTTGAAAAGAAATTAATAGTAATAATAGACTACATTTATAAAAATAGGATTTTTGAACTACTAGTTTCTACACTTTTAATTTCCAAACCAACACAAATTTCTAACTGCATACTACTTTTACATCTAACATTGGTTTAGGTAGTGTTCAGTACTGAATATTTAGGGAAAAAATAAGGTGAATGAAATTTAGTTTTGAAAATTATCTTGTTTCTGACAGCATGCATAGAAGCCAACCAGTATCTATATTTTAAAGCATGCAGAATTTTAATTTCAAATCTCTTTCAAGCATAAAACATGTTTTGACTTCTCACCCTGTCTACAACCCTTTTCCATTAAAATAAAAGGGCCATCTTCTCCATATTTTGATTCTTCTACAGGAACACTTACTCTGAGTATGAAAAAGGTTAATGGAAGACATTTTCATTTAGTGCAACTCAAACCTTTATGAGGGTCCTTGATACTTTCAATCAGATTTAATAAAATAACATATCTGAGCTACTGAATGGCCACAGAAGCAGCAGATAATCAATTTATTCTTTTGAAGAAGTGCAAATTATTTTTATTGAACTTGTCCAGACAAAGTTATGTTTTGGTTTCATTGAAAGGCAAAGTACATGCTTCCCAAGCAAACTATCTGCCATCATATCTATGCTTATTTTTCACTTCCTTCAATGATAATTTTAAAGATGGTCACTCAATAGTTTACCCTTGTGATTTGGGAAAGGCTTATGGAAAATGCTGTTGTCTTAACAAAATATTCTGATTTTTGGGAAATAAAATAAAAACAGGATTATGTCATGTCATGGAGTGGAAGTTGATCATTCCAGTGTAAATTTACAATTAGGACAATTAGGACTCAACTACCTTGAGTAGCAGCTCATAGGATAATTATCACCCCTCTGATAACTAATTTTGGGAAAGAAAAAAATTAGAGAGAGGAATAAAGAAAGGAAATGGGATTAAGAAAATAACAATAATTAATAATAATTAAAATAATGAATAATAATAACTAAATGAAAATGGCTATAAATTAGAGGAACCATATACCAGGTCGCCATCTTTGAGAACATCTTACAAGTCTCCATCTCATTCTTCAGAGTATGGGGTGAACCATCAGCTCGTGGCAGAATATGGAGGCAGGGCTCCCCTTCCTGCGCAATCCTGACCACTTAAGTGGACTAAGTGTGAACAAGTGAAAAAAAGGCACAAATGGTGCAGCCTCAGTGCTTAGTTCAAGTGAGTCTTGGCATTGCCTTGACATCCAGCCATCCTGATGAGTAAAGGAAGGCATCAAAATGCTTCTCTGCTCAAATATTAAACAAGGGTACACGAATTTTCTAATTTACAAATGAATAAAGCAACAGAAGGGAAACCCTCAGAAAAGAGTAATTTAGCAACATCTGAAACCTTAAACATTACAGAAAGGCTACTCCACCCACCTGACATTCTCATAACGATGAATGTAAATCTTATGGAACTGGTGCTGCAAATGTTCATCTTCGACGTTGGTCATGTCATTTATCATTTCCAGGACTACAAACCGTGGTAACACGGAGAGCACCAGCCGTTCCTAAAACAAAGAGGAAACCAAAGTGTCAGTATCAGTCTGAACTGGTATTTCACAATGCCCTCTTTAAAGATCTGGATAACTGGTTATTTAATACGTGACTTTCCTCTCTAAAAATTCTAGCTCAGGCCATTTGTGATAATTCACTTTATCAATCTGAGTCCAGAGTCCAGGACACCTCTGGATAACGTAAGGAAGAATAAAAGAAGCTGACATGCAGCCATTCAAACTGGTGCTCTCGACTAGGAAGACTAGAGAACGTATTCAACATTTCTAATTAGTCTTGTCTGTGTTTCAAGAACACTCAGGAAAAGAGTAAACATTTGAGACATATGGTTATATACATGCACATATTTATTTATAATGTATATCTTTAATATTTATTAGTAGAGTATCCATGTATATTAGTTTACTATTAGTGTACAAACTCAGTGTATCAGTGGCATATTGTATTACATAATACATATATTAATGTACATATACTTCTAGTATATGTACAAGTGTATAAGGAGATACATACATATACACAAAAGTGCTTTTTCCAGGTCTGTCATAATATAATTAATCCCAGAATTTTCACAGAATTTCGCCAAATACTCTGAGTTGGAAGGGACCCACAAGGATCTGAAGTGACTGGCCCATGTGGGGCTTGGACCTGCAACCATGATCATTAGCACTCTGCTCTAACTAACCACATCTTAGTACAGCCAGGCAAGCCCTCAAAAAGTAATAAAAGTCTTTCACGAAAGCCCTAAATCATCCCTTGTGAGATTTTAGAATGTCCCTGCTTCAATGGCTCATCAGTTTAAAAGCTTTGACAGATTTTGCAAGTATCCAACCCAAATCTGTTTCTCTGCAAATTAAACCTTCTTTTTTATCCTTTCAAACTGGGCATGGATAATTATTGATTGCTGCTTTCTCTGTAATAATCTTTCTGTACTAAAATACTGTTATTGTGCCCTCTTGCCCCCAGTCCCCTTTAAATTAGAAAGCTTTGTCCACTATTGGAATATATCACTCCTAATCACTCTGAAGCACAGCTACAGTTTTTCACTTTTCTTTTGCTTTACAGGATTGTAAACACTGAAATCTTATTGAACTAAAGAAGATAATGTTAGTTATGTAAGCTGCTTATCATCAAATTTCAGACATTTTGGGGAATAGGATATATCTAGGGAAAACCAGATGTGAACTTACAAATAAGGCACCCTCTCCTCTCCTCTCCTCTCCTCTCCTCTCCTCTCCTCTCCTCTCCTCTNACGAGCGCTGGTCCCGCCCCCACCCCGGACAGGGCGGGGTGCCGGGGCGGAGCCGGGGCTCTGTCAGGAGGGGCCCGGGGGCGGGACCAGGCGGTATCGGGGAGCGGGGCTGGCTGAGGTGCTCGGGCCCCAGGGCGGCTACACGGAGCAGGGCAGAGGTGATTTAATTCCCGGCAATCGCCTCGGTCGCCATTCGCTCACTGCGAGCACGGTGGGGAAGGTATCCCTCCTTTCCGGGCTCCGCAGCCTGGGACAGGTCGGGCTTTGACTTCCCCTCCTCTACCCACCCTCTACGCTTCCTTCCTCCTCCCCGTATTCCTACTCTTTCTCTCCCTTTCCCCCTTCCCCTCTCCTCACCAAAGTCGACCCCTTTCCCTCCCCTTTTGGCCTCCCCTCCTGTCTCCCTCTGAACCCTTCTGTAATAGACAAAAACTCTTTTGTTCGCCTAAATATATAGATATGATATGATGCTTTGCAAAATTGTGCTTTGTGTGTAAAATCGAGAAGAAGTTGAAGGCCGCTAACTCGCTGAGGCTGGCATAATAATTAACAGCCTAGCAGAGACTCCTGGAATGCCAGGACAAGGTAAACCTTAAAAGAAAAACAGTGAGAAAAGGTCAGCAGAGTAAGATTGAGGAAGACTTGGAGCCTACATCCCACGACCACCAGAGAGCAGAAAACGACCCCCTAATAACTAGAGACGCATGCGCAGAAATGCCGGAGAAAGGACACGTAACCCGGAAGCCGAGGCACTTAAAAGGGGAAACACGGAAGCCGGAAGCGCGGCAGTTTCGTGGAGCGGGAATCCTCCTGCTCCTCTGTCGCCCAGCGCTGATCTATTGCTTATTGCTTGCTTGCTGTAATTAATAAAACTTTTCTCTGATTAAACCATATCACTCTTTTGAGTGCATTCATAACAAATTTGGTGCCCCGTGACTCGGATGCAATCTGTAGGACAGATTCTCGGCACTACTGGGGGGGTGCCCCGCTAACATCTAGCAGCCCAGAGGACCGGTTTCTGCCTCGGTTGCACCGACAAACCTAAATTTAAAGCAATAAGCAAAAGGGAGACCAGTCGACCCCTTAAAATCTGTGCACAGAGTCCGGACGAAGACGCGGGACACGCGAGTATTACGGGAACCGTTCGGTCGGGGTCAGGATCCCGGATTGTGGCGAGTGGGGTGTGTGTGAGAGGGGGACTGGTCGACGGATTCCCCAAGCGAGTTTGGGCCCTTCAGTAGTGCGGTTCCCATTAGCCCGCGAGGGCGTGGGCCACAAACAAGGGGAAGCGAAAGCGGCTGTGTGATTGAAGGCACTCCGGAAGAATGGGGCAGGGGAGAAGCAAGCACCCTGTATCTATTAAACTTCCACCCGTACCTAGAGATAGTCCGTTGGGTTTTATATTAGAGAATTGGGAGCATTTCCCAGGAACAGAAAATAAGGATAAGGCAAAAATGATTCATTATTGTGTAGAAGTATGGGGAGGAAAGGAAATTTCAAAGAATGTATTTTAGCCTATATTTAGATCAACCGAAGATTAGGTTAAACAAAAATTAAACTCCTGGGTAAATACAAAAATCCCCTTTAGCTCAGAGGAAAGTGCTTATGCAGAGATCTGGGTAGTAAATCCTGAGGTTTTTATATTTGAGCTGACAGAGAACTCAGGGGAGGGGAAGAGAAAGAAAAAAAGAAACCCCGAAAAGAAGACACTTTGATAATGCACCCCCCTCCATTTGTACCACCACCACGAGCCCCTCCCCCTCCAAACCCCGAGGAGGAGGATTTAGACATGCCAGATGTGGGGCCTGTTACCAGGAATAGATCCAGAAAGAAACAAGAGAACCTATTTCCATTAAGAGAAATGCCAATGGGTGGCCCCAAGCTGGAATAGAGTTTATATCTGTCCCTCTTAGTTCGGGGAATGTTAGAGACTTCAAAAAAGAAATGGGGCAATTGTTGAAAGATCCATTGGGGGTTGCATTAGGAATAAAGGGAGAACAACACACCCCTTAGCACCCTCAAAGTTCTGGAAAAGTAGAAAAGACCAAACTGGTGATGGAAACGAAATTATCATGAGTTAAGTGTGTTTCACTAGCCCTTTTGAATATTCGAACCCAGCCAAGAGTAGATTTGGGAATTTCCCCTTTTTGAGATGTTATACGGTATGCCCTATAATATAGAAGAAGTTCAAACACATCCAAACGTGAGTGATCAATACATCAATAAGTACTTAATAAAATTAATGAAGTTCAAAAGAGCATTGTGGGGAAAAGGGATGCTAGCTCAAAGACCACTATTAGATTTTATATTACACCAAGTATAACCAGGAGAGTGGGTGCTGATAAGAAGTTGAAAAAAGAATCCTCTAACACCGAAGTGGGAGAAACCGTATCAAGTCCTGCTAACAACTGATTCTGCAATCCGAACCGCAGAGAAGGGATGGACACATGCGAGTCGAATAAAAGGACCTGTGAAGCCACCAAAAGATAATAACTGGAAAGTGGTTAGCCCGGCTGAGGATTTGAAACTTAAGATATCCCGAACAAAATAACATTCAAGAACTATTAACCTGCTTAGAAATTTATGAATAGTAAACTCCATAAAAGCTTTTATATAGAATATAAAATACCTCTATCTAGTGGTGAAGAAATATATAATAGAAGTGTTAAAATAAGCTGTGCTTTATGCTGAGATTGTTATCCTTTTGTCTGTTTTAAATGTATAATATGTAAAGAACACTGGTGGACCCACTGTCATAGAGGCTATCCACCAAGAGAGGTGTGTAGATCTTGCTACACTGCCCAGAGGAGACTCACTGATTGAGCCCTAGTAACCAGAATACGAGCAAGAGAATTTGAGACAAGATCAGAGGAGTGGTAGACTATCTATGCAAGAGGAGTTAACCCCTTGTATTATTGTTACCATCCAAACGAACCTGCGCCTTTTGTAGCAAATATAGTAGCTGGGTTGTGCAGATGGTGGCTCCAGGAATTGAGGTGCAATACCTCTTTAGTAAAGCATAAAAATTAAGAAAAATACATACAAAGAATCAATAAAATAAAGAGTAATCTCCCTCCTGAAGAATACTCTTGCTGCCGAGAAGATGGTACACCCCGTGTCCTGTGGCAACTGGGTCGACGATGGGAAAGGCAGAAGAGTAATAAACTGTGGAGGGAAACACTCCAATATATATGAGACCAAAAGGTCATAGTCCTGGAAATGCCACAAGAATGGGAATGAGATAACCCAGCGAAATAATTTCTAGAGAATCCAAATTGACACTTTACAAAAGAAAAGCCTCTATTATAGCAGGGGAAGCCAATGCTCATTAAAAAAGTAACATTTATAATCTTAATCAGTAACATTTATAATCTTAATCAGCACATTTAACATTTGCACAAGTAAAACTCACGAACCCTTCAATTAGTCCTTAATCCGATGGGAGGACCAGGTTATTATCCAATCACAGATCGCCTCTGAAGCCCCTAACTTTCAAGTTACACTAGACTTTCTCATTAAGTAGAAAGGTATTAGTTATTTCCCGCCCAAGCATAAAGTACTATATATATATACACCCAGCTTCTAATCCAAGCAGAAGGTATTGTAATTATCCCGGCGTATTTTACTGTAGATATTGAAGCTGTGAGACAATTTCCATAGAATGAAAAATACAGAACCCAAATAAGTATCTAAAAGTTGAACGGGGTCCACACAGATGTGTAAAACCCTGGATAGGCCCC